AGAGAAAGATGATGCCGGAAATTGTTTCTGCTGCTTTGCTAACATGTTTCTTAAACGTTAATTTCGGATCAATGTTAACACCTAAAAATTAGCATAACAAGGATTATCGAAATGATTTTGAGGGTGATTAGGATTTGCGTTTTACTACAATTTAATCTTAGTTCATAAATACCCATTCTCGATTAATTGAATTGCTCTACCCGCCTCTTCATAAACCCTATTTAAATTCTGGTCTGATATTAGCAGAGTTGTATCATCCGCATACTGAAGGCATGTGTCTTTTAAGTAGAACGAAAAATCGTAATAAATATTAAAAATAATAACAATCCCAGAATGGGACCTTGCTGCACACCTCTTTGTAGTTTAAGAAATTTGGATGTATTTCCCTCAACCTTTAGGTACAGCTTAATGCTGCATTAGATCAAATTTGTATAACTGTTGCAATTTCAGAATTGATCTTGTGCACCACATTGTCAAAAGCACGAATTAAATCAGAGAGAAATTATCAAGATGAAGTGTTCCTATTCTTCCTAAATTCAAATTGATTTCCAATAAACAAACGATTCTCTTCAAAATGCTTCGAAACTTGTCTATATAGGTTTGGTAGCATCACTTTTCTTATACAATGGGGTCACCGAAGCAAATTTCAACGCGTTTGGGCAAGTTTCGTTAAACGACTCCCAAACAACCTAATGTTATTCTTTTTAACTATACCTTATACTAATTTCGTATCCGTCCTTGGATTGAGTACACCTAAGTGTTTAGATCATTTCTCGAACCTCGGTTTCGCTGACAATATGAAAACTGAATTTTATTTCAAGATTTAAAGAACTATTAGCTTTATATGAATTGACATGGGAATATAGTACGAGTATCGGGATTTAATGCACTCTGTGAATATACAAAGTGTTTGCATCAATGCCGATGTTTGTCTTGTTCCTACCCTTTGCTCTGCACGAATCGATGAATAGGTACACTCAGCTTGTCTATTCAAGAGTGGAAATTTGAAAATGATGGTCATTGGTCAGGTTAGAAAAAGTGAATCTTTTCACCACTAAGGTTTCCGCTATATCCATATCCCGCAAAACAATAAGAAATTCATTTTTTCTAAATTTGATTTATTTTCTTTCTAATGTGCTTGGGTTGAATCTTCCTTTACATTGTAAAACATTAGTTTTTCTTTTTAGACTAAATTTCCACGACAGCCACGAAAGGAATGTTTTTTTTCTCATACCTGACTTCCTCTAAGGCAATTAGCTTGTAGAATTAAATCAATTGCTGTTTTTATAGTAGCTGGCCATCCAACTGTATATGTAGGTTAATTAATGTACTGCTATTCTCAACTTGAATGTTTGAATTAATCATTAATTCAATATACATGCTTAAGTTGGGAGTAGCTCTGTAGTTTTTCAAATCACATCGTCGTTCATAAGTAAAAAAAGTGTACTAATGACATTTAACAAATTATTAGTTTAATGAATTGTATGGACACTATCAAATTCTAGATAATTGCTGCTTTAATTTGTAGTAATTGCAAATAATGTCCCATTGCACTCAATCCAACAACTGTAGAAGTTCTGGCTTACATACGTTAAAGAATGATTGTAGTAAAGCATAATGGACACTATAAAACGGTAAATTATCACAAGAGGGACACTTAAGGTACGCCATAATAAATGTAAGTAAATGTCATAAACGTAAAAACTGTAAGTGGGTCAGTTTAGTTGTTAGTAAACTATTAGTAAAGCTTGTGCATGCGAAATCAGTTTAATAAATAGAAGCTAAAGCACAACTACCTTGGATGACGTAAAATTACTTAATACCTGAAGGTTTACCCCAGGGGTTTATACCGTACGCTAGACTTTATCTATGCATGAATGCTGTGTGTACATCATTTCAACAGTAGTGAAATGTACAAATTTAAGAATGGTAATGAAACATGTTCCGTTTTGGGGTGGTTTAATGTTTTACTAGAAAAGAAAAAAGAAATTCGCTGCGCAGCGAGTGTCAGTCAGGAAAGAGTTGAGAAAATATTGTTATACAACTAACCATGTTTGTCTATAGATCTGTTTCAATATTTTAAATATTATCTTCAAGGGTGCAAAAACCTTGTATTTATCGACGTCCAGAGCATCCCATACTGGTCTTTTTTATCCAGTAGTTTGATTTTGTTCGAGTGTTCTATAAAAAATACAACATTCGAGTTTTGTACGGCAATCTTATTGGCTTGGCAAAAAATTCACCATTTCGACACAGATTACCCATCTTTGTTCGACATATATTGTTTACTGTAAAGGAACTGAGATGATTTTTTCATAGATCACTATACCGCGACATACCCACGAGTTCTTTCACAGCGTCTATCACCCACACATGAAAGTTTGTGTAATTCATTTAGATATCAGCACAGTCTGATGATGAAACAGACAGTTCCGAAATCGATCACCGATTAGAAACTTTTTTTGACAATTATAAGAATTTTACCTACCTTTTAATTCCAAATGGAGCACTACATCAACAAAGTAAAACTAATACATTAAAATAGCTGCTATCAATATAGGAATATAACTACTACAGAGCTGCACAAAAATGCTTTAGATCTACATACCAAGGACGTCAACTAGATCCATTATACGTAGCCGGTAGATTTTGACGAAATTTTTCTACGAGCCCTCACTTACTGCCAGCCAGCTAGCCAGCCAAAGTGAGATTAAAAGCTATCTTTGTACAAATAAATTTGCAAAAATGCCCTAAACAAGACATCTGACTCAGAATGGACTTCAGAATGTGACACTGTAGTAGGTCCTGAGTCAGGTGTCAGATGAGTGGGACGATAAACTATTTTTGACACGTCCATTATGTTTGATTTTATAAGAGGAACCTAAATTGCTTCACAAACAAGGAAGTCGTCCATTGCGCATGCGTGGTTTTATCAATAATAATTGCAAAACCAGAGGGGTTGCAAAAGGTATCCATACTTGGATGGGTAAACGGTAAATCGGACATTTAATTTCTTCTAACGCATGCTCATGTTCTTCGGAATTTGTGCTATTAGCGATTGGTAAAAACTGTTATATATTAACCTCGCCAGAGCTGGGTCGAGCGTTCTAAAAAACCGCCCGAGCGACGGGCGACGAGCGATCTAATTGTCCCAAAAATGCTCGCGAGCATCGAGTTGTTTTTCAAAGCGAAACCGTTTGCAAGTTCCGAGCACTCGAGCGGTTTATCTCGAGCGGAAAACACGCTCAAGAGCGGAAAAAGCGCTCAAGAGCGGAAAAAGCGCTTGGGAGCGGAAAAAACCGCACGGGAGCGGAAAAAACGCTCGCGAGCGGCGCTTAATCCTTCAGCGCTTGAAGGCGGTTAAAAGGGCTCACGAGAGAAAAAAACGCTCAGGAGCGGAAAAACCGCTCGCGATCGAAAAAAACACTCGCGATCGGAAAAAGAGTTTATGAGAGGAAAAAGAGCTTGCCAGCCTGGCGACACCTAAATTATGAAGAGCGGTAACGAATCACATCTCAATTAAAAATCAGTAGTTACTCACTTCATTGCACCACACCACCATAACTCGAATATCAGTATGTAAGATAATAGATTGTTGTGAATGTTGATCATTGTACTTCAATTTTGCGAATAAAAATTGTAACCTGCTAAATTTTGTGGAATTGGCCACCAGTTCGTTAGAGCTTCAAGCAAAGGTCATCTGTGATTTTCGCTTCAAGCTCAATTTGCTGTGATTATGACACCATGTCTTATTATCACTACATGCATATACAAAGTACCTTAAAAGTTTATGAAAAGTAAACGAAAGCAATGAGTAGGAATCCTGAAATAAGGGTACCCACAATCGAGTGAAAGGACTTAAAAACAAAGCTATATATCAAAATAAGCGAGACCATAGTCACTATTATAGCAATTTTTTAAATCGACACATATCAATAATTAACTTGTTTGTCCATGACTATGAAATAATTTGTCTACTATTTACGAGTGTCCTAGGAGAAAATGTGTGACATTGATAGTGAGTTATGAGTTCATTATTGTCCATAATGGAATGAACATTTACTGTAGACATTATTTATGTGTGAACAATATTTTTATCCTTCCATATTAATCTATGTTTCGCACCGAAATGGTTATCGATTTGGTCTAATCGTAATCCTGAGAATAGTTACTTCTCCTGTTTATGTATAAATAGTAGGTACTTACTAAGATTATAGATATTACTTCAGTTATAGACTTACACTTCACTAATTGCACACTTAGTTTATATTAGTTTAAGTGGGATATTGCTAAGTACATATTAAGCATAAATAAAGTGTAATACCTATAATACGAATTCCACCCTAAGTTTTAATGAATTTAGTTAGTGTTTACTTAAAATTGTACCAGGTAATGTGATTGACAACATTTCTATAAAGCAAGCATGTATAGGAAAGCAGAAAATTGCTCAAAAGGCACATTTAGGATCCTTCCTCTCAACACAGCTTCGCATAGTTTAATAGAAAACAGAAGGCTGGCATCAGTAAGTGTCTTCATACATAGGAATGGCAAGATGGCTTAAATCGGGCAGTTTGTCATGTTGCGGGGAGGATTTCTGGTATTCCAGTGCAATTCCTTGCGTGGCAATAGATCTATACCACCCGTTTGTAAAAATTCAAGTGTATATTAAGTAGGGTAAACATAGGGCTACACTGAAGCACAAATTAAAGTTCGAAGTTCCCCATTTGACCGTGACACACATCTGAATTGATTTCGTGTTACGGTGCAACTTTCGTATTTTCTAACAGCAGTCGATAAAACGTAATTTAAAATAGTGCACCAAGCAAATGGCGGGTAGTAAACGGCACGTTATGCTCGACTTGATAAATTGCGTGCAGAAGTACACATTTTCCAACCGCGACTATCGCAAAACTTTACTTGTGTGCTGCAAGTTTAGATAAGTACCGAGAAATGCATTGTTCGTATCGATTTGCCATTAATTACAGGTTCCCCATACTCACTTGCCGCATTAATTCGCCCACCATACCATCCCATCCGCCCTTCACTTCAGGATTCTCAGCGCCATAGTGACCATCCTTGACGATGTGAAGCTCATCTACAATTAAAAATGCGAGTAATGACTATAACAATGACCAGCTATTTACAGTTTATGCCTAATTTTTTCGCGAGTAAATCGGCTAAATCTTTACAGTAACCCTCAAATCTCTCATTTCCGGTCAAGATCTCCCCAGACTCCGGCTTCTTGAGCATTATGTAGGGCTCTTCCTAAAAGTGCAATTAAATCAGCCGTAATAACCCCCAAAGCTCTACTAACGACTATCGTTGTGACGATATAAGTCCTATTTCGCTCAATATGTGACGAAGGTCTGACGTATTTAGCGGCGACTGGCGTAAATCCACTCTGGTCACTCCATTCCGCCACCTTCACCATCGCACTGTTGACCGTCATTTCGACGACGTGCAGAGTGTAATTTTGTCTTCGACCATCGTCGCTAAAGCGAATTTCGCCAGTGAGTCCCTCAAGTTCGACCTAAAAAAAGCAATTTCCTTTAGCGAAAAACGATCGAATTCTGCCTTTTAGGAAAGATTAATGAAATTGCTTTACAGTGCTTAATTTGACAAACGATTTTTCTTTTGCGTGCCAGTTTATGGTTGCTATACACGAAATGACCGCAGATAAGAATGTTAAATTCCCCTGTAATTGTTTGCTCTTTTCCATTCTAACGAAATTATGTAAATGAAGAAGCCACTTAGTTACGTACAAAGTACATTATTGTGCCCCACCATTTTCACGGAGGAAACACCTTGTACAATTCACGCAATCGTAAAATTTCTAAGCATTTAATTGAATTGATACGACTCGGGTTATTTGTTAAATACGTAAATGTTTATTTTAATGCTGTATTCGCACGCCGTTTGGCAATTTGATTGATATCAACTAGGTATAGAATTTGTTTTTGGGCCAATAACGGAAGTCTCGCCCGAACGAAAGTAAACTTTCTAAAATTGTGTTTAGACAGTGCAAATTGGGGTTAGGGACGCATGTACGGTGCCAAATTGCGGAAGTTAAATGTTCTATATTTCACTGACCATAGATATATTTTGTTCGGTTATATAAAAGTAGAGGATGAGGGTAAATGTTCTACTATTTGCATCCGTAGGCCTCCAAATTGGACGTGATGGCCCATACCCCATGGTAACATTTTTCGGTGGGTCTGTGTTAGTGCATGGGTTAAGAGCCAAAATAGGTTTCAACCTTGCATTTTGTGATAACTTTATGAAACTTTCAGAGGATGTTCTAGACACCCTAAGGTTCAATTTCAGCTATGCCGCCAACCCCGCAACCCCGGACGGCACTTGCTATAGCGAGTTTCTTAAGCGGAGGGTAGCATTTCAATACCCGCCTATAAAATGGGTCAAAAATGTATGTCCAGGGTTTGTTTTGTATTTTCTTACATCTAGGAAGGTTGAAGGAAATTGTCAAATACCCAGGGAGAATTTATTTAGGGTATTTTACGTGGTTTGTCTATTTTTAAGGCGCTTTTATCAGTGCGGACTAGGGAATGCAGTCCCGGTATTTGCGGAATTGTTAGTTGTTAATCCCGCGGGATCCCGGTATTTGCGGGATCTCTTTAACTTTAAATTTGGCAAATAAGCAATTCTGTGCGGTTAACTTCTGTATTAAAATAAATCGCTAATTATCACAATATTTAACAAAAAAGTACCTTCGGCTTAACTTAGAACTCAAAAAAACCTTACCTGTAAAGCACAAAAAGTCTTCTAAAATGCCTCAAAAATCATAATATATTTTTAACGAAAAAAGTTTAACAATTATTTAAAAAATAATTCGCCGTTATCAGTTTCATTAACAAAGTAAACAGAGTGCGGTTAACTTCTGTATTAAAATAAATCGCTAATTATCACAATATTTAACAAAAAAGTACCTTCGGCTTAACTTAGAACTCAAAAAAACCTTACCTGTAAAGCACAAAAAGTCTTCTAAAATGCCTCAAAAATCATAATATATTTTTAACGAAAAAAGTTTAACAATTATTTAAAAAATAATTCGCCGTTATCAGTTTCATTAACAAAGTAAACAGAGTCGTCCCCTTAGTCGACAATTTCCTCAGTCCCGCAAATCCCTCGATTTATGTGCGGGATTAATCTCGCAAAAATGGGATCCCGCAATCCCGGTATTGCATTCCCTAGTTTCTAGTATATAACTTTTGATTGAGAAGTCTGATCGAAAAAGTACGAATTGTTTTGGATTCTACGCACCAGAATTAATAAGAAAAAGTGTTTTCCCGAGAAATTTTGGTGCAGTCGATTTTTGGTAAAAAAGGAAGGTTATACACTGCCTTTTTTGAGGCCCGCAAAAAAAATTGTCTCAGATCGACCCGGAAAAAACAATTTTTCTTATAGAATGTGGCCTGTAGAATCCATAATTTCAAACAGTTCCAAGATTGGGCTACTAGTTCGAAAGTTACAGCCCTTTGAGTTTGCTTTCGAAATTGGTTTCTAGTGTATAACTTTTGATTGAGAAGTCTGATCGAAAAAGTACGAATTATTTTTGATTCTACCCACCAAAATTAATAAGAAAAAGTGATTTCCCGAGAAATTGTGGTGCAGTCGATTTTTGGTAAAAAGGAAGGTTATACATTGCCTTTTTTTGAGGCCCTCAAAAAAAATTGTCTCAGATCGATCCGGAAAAAAATTTTTCTTATAGAATGTGGCCTGTAGAATCCATAATTTCAAACAGTTCCTAGATTGGGCTACTAGTTCAAAAGTTACAGCCCTTTGAATTTTAGAGGAAGAGATACTCAAAAACTTAATCGTCCTACATTTCAACATAAGTATTCATTCAATTTAATAATTATGACAATTCAAGAACAAATTCATAATATTTTACTAGGTATAACACCTTGTACTAAATCTTCACTTCCGTAAGCAAAAAGTTGTGCTTCAAGGAAAAACCAAGCCACCTCTCTCTTTTTTATGCACACTTCGTCCTTTGTACAATTTGAATTGCGAAGATCCTCAGTAAAAACATTCCATGGTGTAGCTTGCATTTTCCCTGTACATCACAAGAATGGGATCTACCTCATAAGTACATTAGTGAGTGTAGATTTTCTGTTTTCACAAGGATGCGTAAGGTTAGGATACTTCAGATCGATTAGGTTGTTTTGTTTTTATGCTTTTCAAAGCTTAGAAGGTTTTTTTCAAAAATTCTGCCCTATATAATTGTATATTTATATATTTATTATATTTGTTCATTGTGTAGATCCGTAATAACAGTGGAATATTCTTGATGTTTATCACGATTCCTCTAGCTCGAATACTATACGTTTATACGTGGGGTGTTTTGTAAATAAGTTCCTTTGAGAAAATGTTCAAACCACATTTATTTTGCAGATTTTTACATGATTTGATTTTCTCTATTTTTCGACATAGTTTCCAAATATAAATTGCGTATAACTCCAAGATTTTTTCCGTCCGATCTGAGACCAATTTTTTTTTGAGGGCCTTTTTTACCAAAAATCGATGACCCAAAATTTTCTCGGGAAAACACCTTTTCTATTAATTTGGTGCGTAGAATCCCAAAACAATTCGTACTTTTTCGATCAGCTTCTCAATCAAAAGTTATAGCCCTAGAAACTGATTTCGAAAGAAAATTC